CCTTTGTCGTCATAATCGGGCACCGAGTGCGTCGGTTGGGACTTTGACCCGTAAGGCAATGTCACAAACAACCACACTAGCAATTAAGAACAAAAACAAAAATAATAAATCTTATTTAATTACCATAAAAAAAAAAAAAAAAAAATTGATGCACAAAGTCAGGGGTCCATGCACTCTACCACACATACACAAAAGAAAATAGATTTGCCGCCACCAATATTCGTTAAAGGCGTAAAAAAATTTTTCGAGCTATCCAAAGAACTAGCTATTATCACTGGCCCAGACAGTTTCAGCTGTAAGTCAACATCTTCGCATCTTAAACTCCAGCTTGACACTCCTGATAACTACCGAAAAATAATCCACTTTCTTAAAGACAATGATGCAGAGTATCACACATATCAATTAAAATCTGATAAAGCTTTTAGAGTAGTGTTAAGAAATCTCCATCCATCGACTCCCGTTTCCGAAATCTCAGCAGCAATTGAAGAAATTGGTCATTCCGTCAGACAAGTCACCAATATTATTCATCATCAAACCAAAATCCCATTACCTCTGTTCTTTGTAGACCTTGAGATCGACGAGAATAATAGTGATATTTTTGATGTAACATCCATACTCTACACTAAAATAAAAGTCGAAGAGCCACACAAACAACGACAGATTCCCCAGTGTTTAAATTGCCAATCTTATGGTTATACCAAAAGTTATTGCAGCTATACTCCACGCTGTGTTAAATGTGGCAAAAATCATCTCTCCACAAACTGTTCCAAGTCACGTGAAACACCTGCCACCTGCGCCCTATGCAATGCCAACCATCTAGCAAACTATAAAGGTTGCACTGTCTACAAAGAACTGCAGCAGCGACGACGCCATCTCGTGAACCCAACGCATGCACGTCTACAACATCCACAACAGCCTCAACATCCTCCAGCTGACCAGTCCAACTACCAACCAGCCAATCAACCTACCTCTCACGCCACTAATAAACCTAATAATCGTTCATATGCTAATGTAACAGGTAATGACACCACTCAAAATAATTATAATAATTCTTCAACCAATGTTGATTTCGTGCTTACCAAATTCTTAGATGAATTTAAATCAATAATTAACCCCCTAATCACCCTTCTAACCACTGTCATCACTAAACTAACTGAATTCAAAAATGATAAATAATTCATTCACCTCTAAATCCCTCCTAATCCTACTCTGAAATGCTAATGGACTTAAAAACCATAGAAACGAACTTCTTATCACCCTCCAAGAAAAAAGAATAGATATAGTGCTTATTTCTGAAACTCATTTTACTAATACATCCTATGTAAACTTTCCTGGTTACCATGCATACCGTGCTAATCATCCAGACAACTCTGCCCACGCTGGTGCAGCCATATATATTAGGGCTTCACTCGCATATACTCCATTACCTAACTTCCATACAAACCACATTCAATCATGTGCAGTTTCATTATTCCTCAACAATATACCTATTACCATAGCAGCGGCTTATTGCCCTCCTAAACACAGAATCTCACCCGATCAATTTACCGAATTCCTATCCACCTTAAATAATAATTATATAGTTGGGGGTGACCTTAATGCTAAGCATATTCAGTGGGGCTGCCGTGCCTCTAACCCTAGAGGTAACTCTCTCCTTCAAACTGCCTACCGCTCTAATATCACAATTCTCGCTCCACCTAACTTCACCTATTGGCCAACATCTCGTCATAAAATGCCTGATATTTTAGATATTTTTGTCGCCAAAATTCCAAATAGTCTTCACACACAAACTCAAAACTTGTTAGACCCGTGTTCAGACCACTCACCTGTATTGCTCTCAGTAGATTGTCAACCTCCTGATAAACTCAACTCATCGATGCTGTCTCAATATCGAACAGATTGGGAAAAATTTGGTCACATCTTATCCGAGAAAACCGATTTAAAACTTTGTCTAAAAACCGCTTCCAACATTGATGATGCTGTTAACCTACTCACAAATAACATTCAATCAGCCGTCTGGGAATCAGCAATCCAAACACCTCCAAGAAAGACTGAATTTAGTCTTCCCATACACATCAGGACCCTCATATCACTGAAACGTCGTGCACGAGCAATTTGGCAACATTCCAGATACCCATCCGATAAGCGTCACTACAACGCTCTTACACTAAAACTCAAACGCCTCCTTGCTAATCATAGATCCGAAGCTTATGCAAACTACGCATCTTCACTCTCACATAATGATGGTTCACTTTGGAAGGCCTCTAGGAATCTATTACGTATTCATAATCCACCCCCTACTCTACGTAATGATGATGGTACCTGGGCGATCTCTGACCAAGATAAATCAAACATATTTATGAAACACTTAGAAAATACCTTCCAACCTCATTATAATATTCTATCACCCAGCAAAATCCAAGAAGTTGAAAGCTTTCTCAACTCTCCACTGCAGATGTCCCCTCCTCCTCGAGCCTTCTCCCCTGGTGAAGTATACTTTAATATTAAAAAGCTCCCAGGAAAAAAATCCCATGGATTTGATCTAATAACTGCAGAAGTAATCAGAAATCTACCTAAAAAGTCTATCTTATTCCTAACACAAATCTACAATGCTATGCTTAGACTATCTTATTTCCCTATTCTTTGGAAATATTTTACTATAATTCTCATATTAAAACCCAAAAAACCCCCGGACTCCCCGACCTCGTATAGACCAATCAGCCTCCTCCCAATACTTTCCAAGTTATTTGAAAAACTGCTACTAAAACGTATTTTACCTATTGTCGACACTGCAAACATTTTACCAAACTCACAATTTGGTTTCCGCAATAGCCACTCCACCATTCACCAAGTCCACAGATTGGTAGACAAAATCTCCTATGTTCTGGAAGAGAAACTTTACTGCACTGGTGCGTTCCTAGATGTCTCCCAGGCCTTCGACCGTGTATGGCATGCTGGTCTCTTGTACAAACTTAAGATTCTTCTCCCTAGTCACTACTATTTAATCCTTAAATCCTATTTAGAAGACCGACTCTTCTCAGTGCGAGTAGGTTCCACCTTTTCTGTTCCCACTTTAATTAATGCCGGTGTACCACAAGGTGCAGTCACAGCTCCCCTCCTATTTAACATATATATATCTGATCAACCTTATTCCCTCCATACTCTTGTTGGTGACTTTGCCGACGATAAAGCTATCTTAGCGTCTAGTTCTGATCCTCATCTAGCCTCCAGCTATGTCCAAGACCACCTAAACCTTCTCCAAGCCTGGTACAAGGAATGGGGAGTTAAAATGAACGAATCCAAATCGATCCATTGTACTTTTACGCTCCGACAAGGAGTATGCCAGACTCTCCTCCTTAACAACCAACCCCTTCCTACTGCCCAATGTGTACGCTATCTTGGAGTCAACATCGACCGTCGACTTACCTGGTCAGCTCACATTAAAAATAAAACTCGAATACTTAACGACCGTTTTCGCCAACTTCGACCGCTCCTAACTTCTAAAAATATTAAACTACCTACTAAATTATTGCTATATAAACTACTACTCAGACCCATCTGGTCCTACGGTTTGCAGCTATGGGGCTCAGCGAAAGTATCAAATACAAACCGTATACAAAGGTTTCAATCCAAAGTCCTTCGCGTCATCTCCAAAGCTCCCTTCTATGTTTCAAATAATACCCTTCATTCTGACTTCAATTTACCCACCGTCACTGAACTAGCCAAGCTCCACTAAAAACGATCCAATAAAAAGTTAACACATCATTCTAATCCCCTTATCGCCCAACTATCATCTGCAACTATTCCAGGAAATCCCCACAAAAGACTAAAAAGGCAATGGTGTCGTGACCTGCTTATATAATATATAATAAGTATCACTACTAAAAAAAAAAAAAAAAATCTCTGTTACTCATAAGGCATAACTATTATGTACTCATGGTAGTATCATTATTATTATTATTATTATTATAATTATTATTATTTTAGGATTAAAACCTTAAATTTATATTCATGCTGAAGTACCTCCGATGGGAGGTCTCTTCCCTCGGTCTCTTCTGTCTGTTTTGTTATTATTTATCACTTAAGCTTATTGTTCATTAATTGTAACAGATGGCGTAATATAGAACTTTGTTAAAAAAAAAAAAAAATTACCATAAAATTAATTAACGAGTTCAGCATTCAACGGACAAATAAAATTTTCAAAAATAATTCGACATCTGTAAACAGTATTCACGTCACCGACAAAATGGATACTTCAAATAATGATAAATCCTCGGAAGTCGAATGGTCCTTGGCTACATCTAGAACTGAATGACTTCATTTAAGTTCTTCCGGTCATAGCTTATCACAAACACTCATAAATACAAATAAAAACAAACAACTATTTTTTACCACTAATCGGTTTAAAATATTATTGCAAAATGATCCTCCATTCAAAAGTCCATCGGATGATTATAACACAGATCCTTTTCAAAATTCTATGAGCACCAAACACACCGAACCAAATTTTCCACAACCGTCTCCAATTTATCTGATCCGTGCACTAAACTTATTTAATTAATTGGAGTAGATAACTTCTATAACTTCTTAAAAAATAATAAGTAGGTATTTGTCCTAATGCGATTACTTTTGTGTAAATATGATTTTTCAGTTGCATACTATCTATTAGATTTTTGTTTTCTCGTAACTCATTAAATAATAACCATAAACACATGACATTTGCACTGAATGCTCATATTACTATTTGCTATACACTATATGATTTTTAAAAGATTTTTTGAGTAATTTATTGAAAATTTAATCTTCATGTTTTCCAATTTTTTTTGAAAATATTTATATGATAAAATAATTCTTAGATAAAAAGTTTTAAAAATATAATGTTAAGTTCCTCATATACATACGTATGTATTATAGATTGATGAAAAATAAATTTACATAAAACTAATAAAACAAAAAAAAAAAAAAAAAAATGATGACCGTTTAGTTATTAAATGCTGACGTTAAATTGTACATACATAAAATGAAAAAATAACAATTCTAATTTTTCTAGTTGTGAATCCTAACGGTTGGACTGCGTATCTCTGAGCACAGGTGTGTATTATTCGCGGTCCTTAAACACGATTGAAACACGTATGAGAAAAACTAATATACACGATGGTGACAACATTTAAGAAGATGCTACTCAAAAAATACAGTTTCAATAATGCATGGTTTTGAAGATGTTGCAGATTTTCAATTAATGACTGGTTAGATATGGATCGTTTTGATGGAGGTTACGAGTTACTTGATGATGGAATTATCGCAAATATTACAGAAGAAGAATGCGAAGTGGATAGAAATACTTATGAAGAAGAATACAAGTCATTATCATACATAAATCATCTAACAGCACACGACATGTTCACCAAATGTATATATTGGTACGAGACACTATTTGCAGCTGATTTATCAATTCTATGAAAAATAAAAAATTTATCTATGAAGAAAGCCCATGTACATGATTCGTGCAAACAAAAATAACTAATTTTTTCAAATATACTAAATATATATACGTTTAGTATAAAAATTAATATATAATAACTATAAGTAAAAAAATATTTTTTTTCCTTTATCCGATTATCAATTCGAATAAACCGTCTAGGTCCCGTTGCAAATGGATAATCAAGGTTTTAAATTTAAAAATTATTTATAGTAAAGCTTACATGGGGTGTAATATATGCTTATAATAAGAATATGGAGGAGGCCAGATGTCGTCTGACACATGGAGTTTCGAATAAAAACATCGTGTTTCGTAGTCCCACTTCCCGCCTAAATACATATCTGCAATAATATTCCTTACATCTGCAACGTATGTACACTAGTGTATTTACTAGTAGGTGGTACATTTTGAGGGGCAGCAAATTGTAAAAGGAAATTTTTTGAAATTATGGTTCTGACTTACAGGGGTGTTCGTGATATTTCTATTACATCAACTGTGTAAACGTGTTTATCTAATAAGTTATTATTATTAGTTAGTTTTATTTTTAATTAACTTTATTTTAATGTGATAGAATTGAAATAACATTTGTAAAAAAAAAAAAATTGAAAAAAGTATTTGATTTTAAATACAGATACTCTTATTAAGTATTTAATCTGCTACGTCTAAGTTTTTTTTCAAAACTATTTAAAATGTGTATTTGACTATTTGAAAATAATTTAAATACTTTTATTCGAATACTTTTACTCAAGTACTTTACGAGAATGCAGCTGAATGTTCACAAAAATTTTACATCGATTTAAATGTAAAATATTTAACATTATCCACTATTGACTAATGTTAAAATGATTCGGGTAATGTTGTAATTTAAATTTTATAAGAGAAAAAATACACTTTTGTCAAAATGCATAACTTATATTGACTTTATCCGGCTAATTTTGAATAAACTAAAATTTTATTATTATTTTTATCATTACAAATCGTATATAATTCACTTTTATTGAAGTAGTTGGCCAAAACAAATAAAATTAAGCAACTATATAGTTCGTTGGTTCATCTATTGATACATCGAATGTTTGATTGTTATTGATTTTAAGACGTTTGAATTATATAATTCTACGACTTGTACGGATACTATAAAAAACTCTACAGAGATTTTTACAATATTCTCAATTGTTCAACAGTTATATTCTATTTCTATAATACACCGGACATTGCTTTAATTTTACGCAATGGATTCCAGTAGCATGATTTGCGAAAAATCTACTGCCACGAAGACAATGAAGAGAAATATGGCCATGTATTGTATGAACATGATGAGGAAACGCACGGTCGATGAACAGCTCAATGATTTATCAACAATCATGAATTGTTCGTTAGATCTGATAATTTTGTACCATAGAAACGAATTGGAAGTCAGCTACCGTATTGGCTCGCAAATAGCTTCAGTGAACGGTTTAGATGAGTCGGTACGTATACATTATATATAATTATTGTATATAATGCAGGGATGGGCAACTCAAAATAGGTAAAAGATCAATGTATAGAATTTTAAAATCGAGCGGACTAAAGTAATGAAATTAAAAAAATAAAAAGTCATACAAATTGACAATCAATATTTACTTTATATAATTTAATTTTACAATTAAACCAAATAATATTTACCCAAAACCTATAGCTATGTAAGCTATACAAAAAAAACCTACTCTAGCCACCAGTGTCCCATTCCTTGTAAAACGAATACCAAAATGGATTTATATCGGCTGTTTGTATTTTTTAATTTAATCAACCATTTCACTAGATGTGCGTGCGCCAGTGCAAACGATATATTTTGGACAAGCTTCAGGTGTTCTGTGGCTACACTAAAATCCCGGTACGGACATCGTCATCGGCCTGGCAAGTCCGAAGTGACAAGAGTTCCGAATTGAGTAGTGAGTCGCAAGATGTTTACTCCGAGGTGAGTGAAATGATTTACGACGCATTTTTAAAATGTGTCACAATGTACTCACTGTTATTTACTTTTCGTTGTTTTGAACACATGTGTGTGCTTTGCACAGATCGAATTGTGCAAGAAACGAGTGGATGGAAAAGTAGCGAGAAAAGCGTTCGACGAGAATATCGTAATGGTCGACCCAGAGATGGATATCCCGGGTGAACTGTGCGACTATATGTCAAGTAATAAATTGCCGTTGGTACTTACAATCAGTTATTTTCCAACGGAATGGAAAATGATCTTCGAATGCGGACCGTACTGTGCTTCGACAGATGGTTCCGTAAACTCAGTAAGTGTCTGGAATACATATATTACTAGTAAGCGTACTATAATTAATGTTTTATAACACTTCGATCACTTGTAGACATGCATGCAGCAATGCAAAAAACTACTATTACACGAATTAAATGCGTTCGTCACTAATGAAAAAGTAGGTGCTCGAAAAGAGACAATTAGTGAAAATCAACGATGTGACCAGCAGCATCGGAATAAGATCAACGAACCTACCGTAATGTCGGTCGATCAACCTCCGGAAGCTATAAATCTCAAAGCAGTTTTCACGAATTTACCCGTAACCAGGTCCAATGAGCAGCCAAGGATATCTTGTAATATCTTTGAACCACACGAGGTAATTAGAAACTACCATGAGTGGTATGATGCATTAGATAATAATTATGCCGAATGAATGGAGTTTGTGATGAGCTAAAGCAAAAATACGATAGTAAATCATTATGGTATCACGAGCGTATATAACAATCGAAATAGAATCTCGTCGAGTTGAATACAGCCGAGAAACAACACAGCGCTTTTACTGTACTCGCATTGTGTCTGTAATAATATTCGGAAAACGACTTTTTTACATTGTTTGCAGGAATACGTCATCAGTGCTTCTAAGGTGTTGAAAAATGTCACGTGGGACACGTTTCAGGAAAACGCCTCACGGTTTTTCGATGTAATCTTGCAAACGGACCGCGCGAATAGATTTTACTTGAAGATGATCACGGATTGTGTTGTATCAAATGTACAGTACCGTCGGGACACATTTACCGTTTTTCCACATTTAAATTAAATAATATTTATGCGTAATTATTTATAACGAGTTATTATTTAACGCTCCTTGTGCAGGCGATTGACAATCCTGACAACTGCGCCTTATACGCAACACTGTGTTGTCACGTGATCGAAAATACGTGTGTGGACTCAAGGAGGATCATATGTCAAGGGTTGTCGAGTGCGTTCAAAACCGAGCTGATAAAATCTTGCCGGGTCGTGTTGACCGAAGCCGGCGTATTACTCCGGACGAGAATGTTTCGACAGCCTCAAGCAAGGCGATCGGAACAGAGGTTCGACGTAAAAGCTCGTGACCGAACGCATGGAACGTGCAGGTAAAAATTATCTGGTTGGAAGTATTAGGTAATGGATTTAAATTTTCCAAAAAATATAAAAAAAATTCTTCAAAAAAAAAAAAACCTATCTAAACGTTTAAGATAAATGATAAAAAGAAGATAAAAATTGATATTAATCCACCGGAGTGTTAGGTAATGGAAATAAATGTTCAAAAAAATATGAAAAAAATTATTAAAAAAAAAAATCTATCTAAACGTTCAAGATAAAAGTTTTATATTTTTTTAATTCACCGGTGTACGAAACGAATCTTGTGATATTCCGAAAAAAAATACTATTTGCATTGGAATCCCTATTATTATAGAAATATATGGACATTTTATAATCGTTGTACGCAATGTGTTTCACAGGTTTATGGGTGAACTGTTCATGCGCGATCAAATATTCAAAACCGTAATGAGTACCATCGACACGTTCATGCAGATACACGACGCGCATTCGTTAGAATGTCTCTGCGTTTTATTGACCATAATCGCACCAAAGCTTGAAAAAGTAATATCAATTATATAACATACGTCATTGAAATCATAACCATAAATATTTTTCCTGTTTTTTTTTCTCGTGCGAACGGTGAAAAACTTACACACGACATTGTGACGTATTATGGTTTTATTATCGTAAATAGTAGTCCAAAAGGTTTTGAAAACAAAAAATCAGGAAGTTTTGTCTTTCATTCACTACATATTTATTCCTTAGGCCTTTGAGGCTATGCCCTCCTAACTCTCCCCGCTCTATTCATGTTCATGGGTATCAGTACCTATACAATACTATTACCGATTATTTCCAGTTATTCCTATCATTTTACACTAAACGTGTGTGTGTTGTTCTTGTATAGGTTATCGATGCCCCAAGACAAGTGTACAAACAACTGAAAAGCTACTTGGTCACCGGGTACGCGGGCAACATTCCTCTGCCTCGGCAAACCATACACATGATCGATATACTTCTGAACATGCGAAAATGTAACACGAAAGGTTCGAATTCGTGGCGAGGCGATTTCACCGAAGGAAATACCAGGAAAGCCAGAAACAGCCGTCATCAAGAAGTGCAGTCGGTGGATCACCGTAGGAATCGCATCTCCGGCGAGAATTCACGATCCAGCCAAAACCGATCATCCTATACTACCATGGTGCCTGTAAAGCACCACGGGAAACACGTCACGTTCAACCCCGTGGTGTCTGTATTCTATTATCATAAAAATTAGTAGTAATGTATAAATATTCCCTCTCTTTCCCCACCACCCTATTTACACCCTTAAGTATGTATATACAATGAATCGGAAAAGTTCTCGAATTTCCTCTCCAGCGCCTGTACAAGTGAAGCAATCTAACAATAAAAACTGGTACCACGTAGCTATATTTATCAGTAGTATGTGTACAAAATTGTATCACTTTCAGTTCAGTATATTAACGAGTTAAGATATATTTGTGAAACGCGTATTGGTGTCGTAGGTGCAAATTGCGAAATGGAGGGAAAATTCGAGCAACGTTCCACAGTTAAATTTTGTGTTAGACTCAAAAAAAGTTTTAGGAAAACTCGAAAAATATTGATACTGCTTTTGGTAAACGTATAGTAACACGCCCTAATGTTTATACGTGGTATAAGCTGTTCAAGGATGATAGAGCCTCGTTAGAAGACCACGAAAGAAGTTGCCAGCCCACAACAGCTGTTACTGATGAAAATGAGGCTCGTGTACGCGCCCTGCTAAACCAAGATCTTCACATGTCTCTCAGAATGTTAGCAGACGAACTGAACATAGTGTGACGATGATTTTGAAGAAAAAAATGCATCATAGAAAGGTGTCGAGCACAGTCGGACTTAGTCCGGGCGAATTTTTCCTCCATTTCGCGATTTGCACCTGCGACACTAATACCATTGATTATAAATACTAGTATTTATTTTACTAGTATTTATAATCAATGCTAATACGCATTCCTCAAATATGTCTTAATATTCGTTAAATACTGAACGGAAAGTGATAAAATGTTGTACATATATTACTGTTAATTGTAGCTAAATAGTACCAGTTTTGTCTGATAGATTGCTTCACTTGTACAGCCGCTGGAGAGAAACTTCGGGAACTTTTCCGACACACTGTGTAATATTCATTGTATGACTCAAAATAATTAATAATTAAAAAATTTTTATTATATAATGACAAATTACACTAATGCATTTACCGTTTTGGTTCAAGTAGTACATAAATAAAGATAAAACGTCAATAAAAAAAACATACCATGACATTAATATAAAACAATAAAAAAAAAAATTTAATAAGGGAACTCCGAAATTACAGGATATCTCATCGAGATGATTGGTTATAAATATTTCCTAGCTATTCATTTTTTCAAATAATTTTTATATTTCTATACAACAATTATTATTGTTTGAATATAATATTAAATCTGAGATGAGAACGAATAATTTCAAAACAAAAAAATATGGGCTAGACATTATACAAACTTTCGCAAATGGTCAACACAACTGTTCAAGTAACCTTTTACAATAAGAAACAAGTGGTTTGGAAAAGGTCATGCATCGGCGTGATTATTGCAACATTGGAAGTGCTGAAACGGGGAAGAGTGTGAAATTTCGAAAAAATCCTGAATCAACTATCACTCTTTGTTTCCTTTACGTAATACGTACATTAAACGAGGTATTAGAAATATGTATCTAATAATATTGTATTAATATTTAAATAAATAAATATGTATAGCTAAGCCAAGAATGTTATAATATTTGTAAAGGACAATCAGTTTTGAATTATAAATGAGAACTTGAGAATTTTTCTCAATGTATTCATTTATATATTTGTTCATATTCAGTCGCCATTTTATTTACTTCATATATAATTGACAATGAATTTTTAATTTTGAACCTGTCATACTTAAATCAATATAAAAATATAATAATACAAAAATAAAACTTTAATTAATGTATTCTATGTATAAACTATTTATTTATATATTAATTTATGAATATTAACCATTTAATAATTTTATTAAATACTGTAATATTTAAGAATTATTTAGTTCATGGCTAAAAAAAAATGTGCACAACAAATATTATTATTATTTTTATTTATTTATTTAACGACCGAAAGCAATGGTGTACAAAGAATTATATATGATGTAGATTAACTTAATATTACATAATATACCTAATATTTATAAATAGTTTTTTTCGGTAACACACAAATATTAAATTTCAGTGGTATTAAGAAATTAAGTAGACCATCAAGGGATGAGTACTAAGTTCGAAATTTGCCGCCGTTTTAATTGCGACAGTGGCAACCGGTCCGCGAGAAGCGCATCGCGTGGTCCGTGGATGCCGGTTCCGGCCAAGTCACCACCGGCGACTTTTGAGCTGCCCGCCGTTGCCGTACTCTCCTTGTGAGCGGACCGTGCGTTGGTTACGTCGGGTCGTGTATTATTTTTGATAGAGCTGCCTCTAAGTCCACCCAGCGGTCATTGTTGTATTCCGTTGCACTCGTTGCATGATATTGTTTTTATTCCGTTCGCGTATTACTGCTATTATTATTAGTCGATAATATTAGTTCGAAACATTGCATAACGTCGCATTTGTTATCATCGCTGCCGCCACCCCCCGTTCACGTGTGTGTCATCGACCTTGCCACAGCTGCAGCTGATACCAGTCTCCGTCGTGACCGATACACTGCCCTGCCGCGACGTATGTGCCATCCGGTAATGTGGCATTATTCAGATTAATTATTATTATTCTTGTTATTATTATTATTGTTACGAGTCGCGCTCGGGAAGAGACGTCTTCACCGGCCGACGTACGCACACTAGTCGTGTATAAATATATATATTATTATTATTTAAAACGTGTTGTATATATTTATGTTCGGTCACCTATCCAATTCAAATTGTGAACATCACATCCTTTAAAGTGGTAGCCCGGCCAAATGCTAGCAAATAGCCGGTTAGCCGGCTTCCCAAACATGTTGAGTGTGAAAATGTATAATTATGTTTAAATTTATATATCATTATTATTGATCTATTGTGTGTGTAGCGCTATTATATTATTATTAATTATTAGGGTTCGGATTTGAAGGCAAAAGCCTTTCTTTTAATAATCATAAAAAAAAAAAAAATAAAAAATTATTATTATTATTATTTTATTAATAATAGAAAACAATTTTTATATAAAAATGTGTTTCGTTTAATTTCTAAGACGATGGATGTATATTTTTTTTTGCCTTTTTTACTTATAAATGCATTTTTTGTGTTGTTGATTTAATACATTTTTAGTTGATTTAATAATTGTACATAGCTTACGTATTATCGGTACAAATCGATACAAGACGAAGTGGCTAAATTGATTTTTAATATATTCAATAAAGTTAAATCGAAGAACAAAGGATGGAAAAATATCAAACAAATGAATCAAGTATTGATTGGAGAAACAACAAACGATGACGATTTAATAATTAGTAATTTTAATTTAAATTATTATTTATGTATGAAATACTCAAACCGTCAATGTTTAACTGAAGACAGCTTATTTAAGTGAATATTTTTTTTAATACCAACTAGTTTGTTTGTTTAATTTTGTAGTATATTTTTGAATTGCTTTTTTATATAAATTAAATGCCTTTTTTGCCTTTTTATACATTTTAAATGCTATTTTTATTGATTATGTTGCCTTAAAATCCAAACCCTACTAATAACAGTACATTTTTTCTTTTTTTAATTGTATGAATATTATTAACACTCGGTTGTCCGATAAATATTTAGTCGACGGTCGTTTCGCATACTCTTTTCTGAGAAATCTATTAAAAATAATACAAATCGAAGACTGGGGATAACTATTGCCTATTTCAAAATCCATCTTTATGCACGAAACTATATGGTCATATGGTAATTAACTCTGGGGTTCAGCTAAGCATTTGAATATAAATAAAATCTAAACCTTTCAACATATATGCCTCCGTCAAATTACAGTCGTTGCCAGATAAATTGAGACGGTGGCGGCGGCGCGATAACGGAAAACCAGTGGTTTTCCGTATTTCAATATTGTTATCGAAAATACATCAATAAACCAACAATTGTTACAAAAATTATTTTACGATATTAATTCCAAATTATTTCCCTAGCTGGACTGTGAGCTTTACGATTTTTAATTTTTGAACTCATTATAAAAAAACTATTTATTTTATAGTGTTATTTTCAGTACAAAATAACACGAACACCAGTGGCGTACATAGGAATTAATTTCGGGGGGGGGGGGGTTATGAAATAATATATACTAAATGAAGGTTATAAATTAACTTATTTTTAATAACTATGAAAATTAGAATACATAAATTTAATTACAGGACAAAGTCTAATTTTCAAGGTAGATTTGCAAAATTATTTATCACTTCTTCAGTGTTTATTTCAGTATTTCAGTGAAATTACTTCGATGAATTGACATGAGATAATCCTGTTAGTCGATCTTCGCTTGTACTATTTTTCAAGCACGACTTCAATCTTTTCAATATCGAAAACGATCTTTCTGATGACGCTGTTGAGACTGGTAAAGTTACTAATATTGACATTAAGCACCATATATTTGGAAAAAAATCAACGGATAGTTTATTCAAAGTATCAATAGCAGATTTGGATTTCTGACAAACCACGGAACATTTGCAATTATTCTGAGGACTTTGTTTTGGACAATTTGCATTTTTTTGATGTGCGAGGATGCACAATCACCCCATACCGGGCAAGCGTTGGTAAGAATTGGGCGTAGAATTTGCTTAAAAATTAGGAGAGAGCATTTTTTTCCCATACTAGACAGTTTGGTTTTAATTAATACATAGATTAAAGAAATGCACACGTGGGTCGTACTAACCATAAATTTCGGGGGGGGGGGGGTTGAACCCCAACCCCTATATACGCCACTGACGAACACAATACTGGCACGAATGAGTAAATATCCAACTATATTAGTATATTCCATAATGTCCATATCTATTTATATTTAATATTGTCATTGGTCAGCCAAGTCATTTATTTTTATACATTTATAATAAACAAATTATTGATGCGATTAAAGTGCGCCGCGCGGTCAAAACCCACTGGGTTCGAACTGGTGACTGTACGCGTCGTAGCCAACTGTGTGACCTTTGCACCACACTGCCAGCGACTAGTTTGGGCTACACTTCATGATATAAGCGTCCCCGCCACCGTCTCAATTTATCTGGCAACGACTGTACAAAACCTTTGATCTACGTTTCAAACGATACACTTCATAATGACCTCTTCCATTCCAACGGTAACATAAGTAGTTGAAACTCGCTATAAACACTTTTACTCAAATCTATTCAACCCCCGTAATCCATTCGTTTCAATTTTACATCTTAACATCCCAGATTAAATTCCAGAAGGCATTTGAAACGTATAAGTTGTGTCGGGGGCCTTTTAAATAATTAATAACTTTCCACTGTAACAAGTTCCATCACTGGATAGATTCTTCCATCAATACTGCGATCCCACCACTAAGTTAGGCTTATTGTTAGAGATATTTTTTATTTGCAGATCGTATCAATAAACATCTAAATTAAAAAAAAAAAAAAAAAATTTTAGATACAACAAAATTACTTAATTTATCACAATTATATAGGCATATAATATTTCAGTGACGTCTACATTTGTTGATGTACAATAGATACGATAATAATGCACGTTTAAAGGCCCTGTTGTAATGAGAATCGCAAAACGAAACAAGCGTTGTTGTTGTTGCTGTTGTTGTCAACTGCTGTTCCGGGTTCCCAGGGCAACCCATTAATGTACACCCTCACACTGGTGCATATGACCCGTACGCGCGCGAGCCACAGTGGCCGTAGGAAGTTCCGACTTGGCGTATGTGAAAAAAACCTGATTATTTTTTACCCCTAACGCCGAATTCTTACGCACGGGGCAGCCGATCATCGTTTCATTCGAGCGACCCCCGTAGGTAGGCCCGTCGCATCCGTTCTTGTCGCGCAGACAGTGCTCAGTGTCAAACGGTGAACGACGCTCGATCGGCGAATCGTCTACACCGGGAGTCGGCGGAAGTCGTCGGATCGCGTTGGCCGCGAGTAGTGCCATGACATCGACGCCGTCGCCGAGGTAAGCCCAGTGGTGTTTTGGAGGGTATACGCGGGTATACGACGTATACCCGTGAACCATCATTGTGATTTAGCGTATACTTTATAAAAGTAACACCAATATGCACGTATACGCTCGTATACCTACTTCATAAATAGAAAAAAAAATCCATAGGACATACGTTTATTTTTAGAAAATTTTTAATTGGTAGGTTAATAATAACATTGATAATTGATTATTATTTATAGCTATCGATTATCGTTTACCTATATTCATTAGGTATCAAATTATAATATATACAAGCGGCCGTTGACGTTTCTATATAAGAATATACTAGATAGTGTCGCCATTGATTAAATAAACATAGATATCCCATGCAATGATAAATATTGGAAACGCCTAAAATGTCTCAAATAGAGTCAGAACTGTAGTAGTAATGGATTCCTGATAACAGAATGCGCTGGCGTTCCATATAAACATTTGTTTTTTTCTTTTTTTTTTAAATTGTACAATCCGTAAATATTTTATTTTTACCATAAGTACAAATGATATTTAAGTAAGTAATACAATAATATTAAATTAAATTAAGTAAGCAAATCAATATCTATTGCATCAAGGTAGTTTATGTTTTGGGAGAAGGATCTATCCATTAATGGAACTTCATGGCGGGTATGGAGTTTGAAGTTTAGTCCTCCAAGAGGTCACGACACCATTTTCGTTTTAGACGCCTTCTGGGGCCACCTGGAATTGTGTGAGTTGATAAATCAGATATGAGAGGGTTTTGGTGATTGAAGAGATTGGAGTGGAGGCATTTATAGCATATTTTGGCTACGTTTTGGATGGTTGGAATATTAAGATCCCTATGGAGAGTGTCATTAGAAACATAAAAAGGAGCTTTAACTATTTGGCGGAGGCATTTTGA